GCCCGTATGCTGAACACAATCCTGCTCTTCCCCCCCTCACAAGAAATCCTTTATCCCCCAAAACTCCCCAACCAACTCCACAGAAGAAACTATTGAAAATATTCAAGATTACTTAATGAAAACCGACACTCAACCTACAACTCCTGCTCCTTCCACACTCCAAGTAATTGCTGATATCCATCCTCCTCCTAACGATATCCCCCCTACACCCTACCCTCCTACCCCCTCCCAACACAGCCCATTCCCCCTGACCCCAACCCTGCCCACATTAACTCTCCCACCATCCCCTCTATCCCTTCCACTCCCTCCTGGATACACACGTGAATCCCTTATGTCACAAGTATCCCCTTCCTCAGACCATCTCCTAATACCCCTCCTGATAGAACACCAACTCCCACACCTCTCCCATCTCAAACCTCTCAGTCCTTATCCCACCCTCTAGCTACTTCCCCTTCAAATTCTCCAACACGTACTACAATCTATATCACTAAATCAACGAAAGTATAACTATCCTTCATTGGAATATTCGCGGTTTCCGCTCCCACAGACCTGACCATCATATCCTTTCCTCTTATAACCCATCTATTGTATGCCTTCAAGAAACCTTTCTTATGCATACCCTTTATCTAATATAACACCCGACCTTAACCCTTTCACTAATTCCTTTGCCCAGCTTAGACAACTAATCACTAACTCAACCACCCTTCACTAACATTAACTATAGTGCTACATGACCTTAGATGTCTAGCACATTTATCTTGCTTTTAACCATTAACCATTAACTCTGACTAATCTCTCTGGTAACTATTTCTGCAGAACCTCATCCAACCCTCAATATTTGCACCAAAACTGCCCTATCTGTAACAAAAATTAGATTGTGGAGAAGACTTGCCTGTCTCACAGACAGGCAATGCATTATCAGTACGCTACTCCATTCCTCACAGAAGTCATCGTAAGAACCCCACTGACATTGACAAAATTACTTTCTGTAGACATGACCTTCCCTTTAATGTTTACATTGAGAATCCCTCCCTGTCTGACCATATCAACCTCCTCCCCGTCAGTGCCAAAATTGTTGGCATTTAGGATATCCTGCCAAACATTGCTGTTCCGCAGCCACTTGCCCTCTATGTGCCCAACCTGGCCACACTCGATCAAATTGCTCTGCACAGTCACGTACATGTCCCAACTGTGGCAGCCCCCATAATATCTTTTATAGGGGCTGCTTCACCTGCAAGTTTGTGTCTGAGGTGGCAGCCTCAGATTCAGACTTGGATTCACTCTACAGGAAGCATGTTGACGAGTTTTTATGTTTTTTTTCCCTCTTACTCCCTGCTCCAGTAATATCGCTCGCCCTTCCCCAGATCCTCCACCACCTGATACAACACCACCTCCCCCCCCCCCAATCCCTTGCTCGTTGTTGTCGTGGGAAGGGCTTAAGAGGCGGAGACTGGGACCCAATGATGGGAAACTCCCCAACCTTCGGACTCGGCCCTCGACTCAACTGATTTTGCATGGTCTTTTTTCCCTTCCTACTTTTTCGTTTCTGTCCCTTCACCAATACCTTCTACTATCCACCTCCTAAGGTGTGAGAGCCGTGCTGAAAGGATGAAAGGCTGACTTTGTGCCAGTCCTGAACGGCCTGAGGGAGCCATGGGCACGGTATTCCCCTGCTTAGGCCTAACCCTTACCCCTCAAGGGGACCCTGAAGGGTGGACTGTTTTTCTCCTCAACATAATCCAAGCTTACCATGGCCAATAACGAAGACATAATTCCACTATTAGGGGCAATGAGGTTTGCCCCTTCATCAAATAGCCCCAACGATGCAAACCCTCCCGATTCCCTGACCCCAGGCTCTCCTTTGACCACGGCTCCGAACACTGCAACAGCTAACCCCTCCTCAATGCCTACTAGTACAGTAGTCAACACTCAACCCCCTAGAGACATTTCTACTCTCTCATCATGCTCAACTTCAACACCTCTACCCCCACAACCTTCTATTAATACCTTACAGCCTTATTGCCCACCTCTCCATAACACTACCTCCCTCAACACTACTCCCTCTTCGACACGCCCCCGCCCTTCTACTACCCCTATCTCTACAACAATCTTACCCCCCCAATCCCTTGCCCGTTGTTGTCGTGGGGGGGCTTAGGAGGCGGAGACTGGAACCCAATGATGGGGAACTCCCCAACCTTGGGACTCAGCCCTCGACTCAACTAATTATGCATGGTCTGTTTTTTCCCTTCCCACTTTTGTTTCTGTCCCTTCACCAAACCCTTCTGCTATCCACCTCCTAAGGTGTGAGAGCCGTGCTGAAAGGATGAAAGGCTGACTTTGTGCCAGTCCTGAACGGCCTGAGGGAGCCATGGGCACGGTATTCCCCTGATTTAGTATCTAGCCCTTACCCCTCAAGGGGACCCTGAGGGGTGGACTATTTTTATCCCCAACATAACCAGGCTTACCATGGCCAGTAATGAAAATATATCACCACTGTTAGGGGCAATGAGGCTTGCCCCTTTATCAAATAGCCCCAAAGAAGTAAACCCACCCGATTCCCCGACCCCAGGCTCTCCTTTGACCACGGCTCCGAACACTGCAATAACTGCCCCTTCACCAATGCCTACTAGTACAGTAGCCAACAATCAACCCTCAAGGAACATTTCCACTCTCCCAGCATGCCCAACTTCAACACCTCTACCCCCACAACCTCCAACATCAACCACCCCATCCTCCCTTATTAATACCTTACAGCCTTATAGCCCACCTCTCCATAACACTACTCCATCTTCGTCACGCCCTCGCCCTTCTACCACCCCTATCTCTAAAACAATCTTGAATACTCTCTTCAGTGCAGCCAAATGGAACCGATTTTTCGTGATCCCTCCCACAGTTCCCTACTCTGACAACACCCTTCTCTTCCAACAATGCCTCCAAAAACAAGTAGGTAAAGTCTCTTTCCGTAGCCGACCCGACCGCTCCTGTCTTGTAACAGTAACATCCGAAAACCAAGCCATAGCATTAACAAAACTAACTGACCTATATGGTAACCCCATCCTAGCAGAACCCCATCCAACCCTCAATACTTGCACCGGAACAGTCTCAATCTCACCAACAAATTGCCCAATCTATGACAAAGATTGGTCAGATTGTGGAGAAGATCTACTTGCCTGTCTCACAGACTACGATGCAACATCAGTACAATGCTATTCCATCCCCCCCAGAGGTCATCGAAGGAAACCCACTAACATAGCCAAAATTACCTTCAGTAGACATGACCTTCCCTTTAACGTCTACATAGGAGGAGAATCCCTCCCTGTTCGTCCATATCAACCTCCTCCACGTCAGTGCCAAAATTGTTGGCGTCTAGGACACCCAGCCAAACACTGCCGTTCCACAGCCAGATGCCCATTATGTGCCCAACCTGGCCATACACGATCTAACTGCTCTGCACAATCACGCACATGTGCCAACTGTGGCGGCCCCCATAATGTATTTTATAGGGGCTGTCCCACCTACAAATTTGAATCTGAGGTAGCAACTCTCAGATTCAAACTCGGACTCACACTGCGTGAAGCCAGACAGGAAGCACGTCGACGTGGATTCTCTCTTACTCCTTACTCCAGTAATACTGCTCATTCTAACACTTCTCCTAAACCCACCCCTCCTACATCTAACCCCCCCACTAACCCCACCTACCTTCCCCAGTCAAACTCTTTTGCCATCCTAAATCCAGAAACTCCAATCTCTACTACAGATACTCCAATCACCACTACAATCCCAACACCTTCCCCTCTCCCTCCTCGCACTCCCCGTAACAGACAGAACAAACGTTCCACCCCCTCTTCCCCTACCACACAATCACCCCCACCATCCTTTGCCCGTACTCTTGAGACACCAGTCCTCTCTTCCCCCCCTCACAAGAAATCCTTTATCCCCCAAAACTCCCCTACCAACTCCACAGAAGAAACTATTGAAAATATTCAAGATTACTTAATGAAAACTGACACTCAACCTACAACTCCTGCTCCTTCCACACTCCAAGTAATTGCTGATATCCATCCTCCTCCTAACGATATCCCCCCTACACCCTACCCTCCTACCCCCTCCCAACACAGCCCATCCCCCCTGACCCCAACCCCGCCCACATTAACTCTCCCACCATCCCCTCTATCTTAACTCTCCCACCATCCCCTCTATCCCTTCCACTCCCTCCTGGATACACACGTGAATCCCTTATGTCACAAGTATCCCCTTCCTCAGACCCTCCATCTCCTAATACCCTTCCTGATAGAACACCAACTCCCACACCTCTCCCATCTCAAACCTCTCAGTCCTTATCCCACCCTCTAGCTGCTTCCCCTTCAAATTCCCCAACACGTACTACAATCTATATCACTAAA